GAAAAATGCAATCATTATAGACACATATTTCCAGAACACAATCTTCTGATATGCACTTTTGACCAATAACTAAAAATATTTAATTGTGTGTTCCTTTATTTTTCATTTTTGAAAAAGCAATATGTGAGCATTTTTACCAGGACCATCTCATCATCTTCAGCAGCAACCTTGGGAAGGCTTTCCCTTGAAAGGATGCGAATATTGGCTTTAGTGATTTTCCTAAGCCCATTAATAATGGATCCCCCTTTACCAATAAGACACCCTATACAAGAGCTTGGTACAAGTAAGCGCGTAGTGAACGAACTAAGGCCTGAATCTTTATCCACTTTTTCACTGCACCTGGGTTGTAAGAGCAATGCAGCTTCAATTGTGGGAGAGTAAGTGTCTTCAAAAGACTGTTAAGATCCATGTAAACGAAAAAAAACATAAAAAATACTCCGGGGTATACATCTTTGAAAAAGTGGCCTAGGTACCTACTTGTATAGCAAAAATAATAATAATAATAATAATTTTTATATGCATACAGTAATGCTTACTTCTTTTGCTGAAATGACTATCAGGCAGTCGTCTTCTTCATCACTTGAGATATCCACTTTAATGGATGCCCTAGAATCTTGCCTGATTTTGTTGATAATGGCCCCGCCTTTTCCAATAACACCTCCAACATTCACATTTGGGCATATCAGCCTAAGAGAAAACTCGGTTGAAGATGATTCATGCCTAGGAGCAGTGTAAAGAGACTGTGGCCACTCTCCTCTTTTATCTTTGTAACTGACATAAGGACCAAGTAGTGGTGCTAATCTCACTATTGGAGAACCGGGAGCAGGACCCATCAGCAAACCACCGCGAGATGGGTAAACACTAGGAGCTGCATCAGCAAGCAAGTGTTGAGATCGGGATGGATTACTGTGAAGGCGAGTTGCAACTTGATGTAGAGCTTTGCTCACTACAGGCATTTCTCCTGATATCTGATACCCAATAAACCAGATATACTTGAGGAGATAAAATATACTTCTATTCTGTTTTGGATGTTGCCTGGAAATTAAGAAAACTAACAACAAAAGGAAAAGCATAGAACCCCAGTCCAAGTCCCAAAATAAATAAATAGATATAGAACACCATATACCTCTTATTCTTTTGTCAAAAGTGAAAAGTGACGAGAACAAATAAAACTGAACAATAAAGGAAGGATATATACTAAGGCTCAAGGTTCTATCACAAGAGGTCAAACTAAAAGGAGTAGGTCTAGCAAAGCTGCAAAGGTATGTTGACTTATATGTTAATAACTTATTATACTCCCTCTGTCCGGAATCAATTGGCCAGTATCTAAAAAAATCTCATTTTTAAGAAATGAGTTTAAAAAGTCAAAAAGTCCTACAAATGAGGGTACCTGCCCCTCATTCATGTCAACAATGTTGATACCCCATCTCTAGGACATTTTAGAAAATTCTTCATAATTTCTTTATTGAATATGCACCGTGGACAACAAATTTTGGACATACAAAAACAAGAAAGTGGACAACTAATTCCAATAGGAGTGATTATATGTTCTAGGTGGATGGGCTAAAGTGTCCTAATTGATGGTGCCTGCTTGTTTTAACCAAGCATTTTCTAATAACATACGGTATTAAGACTTAGGCTCTCGATTAGAAGATCGAAGACCTTATATAGTTATATGTTTCATGTTCGTTTGTATTTTTACATTTGTTTGATGTATGATGGCTAAACAATCCCAAATGAGGAGACGGAAGAAGTTGGGTATCATAATTACCTGCACAAGTTCATCAGAAGCAAGGGCACATGCGGGCAGATGCTTATCCTTCAAAATACGAATCTGGGCACCCGTTTCACTACGAATACTTTGAACTATCTGTCCACCTTTCCCAATAATACATCCAATCTGATCAGACGGTACGAGAAGCTTAGCAGTCACATGTGGTTTTTCATCAGACTCCTTAACATCATCCCCCGCGCCATCATTTGCTACCCTATCATGAACCTTGAGAAGCGCATCATGGGCAGGACATACAGGATCTTCAAGACCTTCAAGTTTATTACTTTCTTCTCTGGATCCAAAGATGGTGACTACGCGTTCATCACAATCAGGCCTTGTCTCCCCAATACTTATTTTGGATTTAGTTTCTTCCCTTAATTGCTTAATAATTTCGCCTCCTCTTCCAATTATACTTCCTATCTTCTTTAGGGGGCACAAGTAGCGATACACGGTCTCTTCTGAACCAACGGACTTACGTTCTTTATCACCCCCATTAGAGTTTCTCCTTTTATTTTCTGCACATTCGGATTGAGTCTGGGAACAAGAACGTTTTCCATGGCTACTACTTTGACCGGCCATACTTCAACCTTGAGTTCTTGACCAAAAGATCTGTTTTTTTTCCTCCAAAAACAGGCTAAATAAATCCAGCTGCAGTCTGCAGATAACGAATTCAAATTCGTTCGAAAATGTAAACCTCGATACAGTTTAACAAACTATCAAATTCCCCGAGTTGAATTGGTTTCTTGCAGAATTGTATGGTGCTGTAAAATACGCAGAGTGAGGAACTTGAATAAAAACCAGAGCTTTTTAGCAACACATGGAAGTGAAAACCGGGAAATTATTGGATGGAAGCAGAGACTGGGGAAGGGAAGTGCTAGAATCGAAAACAAGGGAAACGAACATATTCAAGAGATGCCTCGAGAGTTTTGCAATAGGAATTACCTCAATATCTAGGGTTTTGGACAGAGACTTCTCGGAGAGGGAAACAATGGCGGATTCTCTTTCCAGTGCCAAACAAGCGAACGTCGCAATAGTTACTGTGTTTATTTTGCTTCTTTTTTTTAATACTCCATACTCCTTATTACAGTAACTAGATAAACTTTACACGTTAATGGATAAAAAAGCACAAATCTGTTTTTTTTAAACCATAAAAATCACAAATCTAATTGAACTATTTTTTATTATTATGGATGTGCTAGGGTAAGCTAACAAAAATACTTTATTTTGTTAGTGTATCACACATGTACAAATGACCATTTTCAGTGCACTCTCAATAGTTATCCGTGTGTGTATCTCTGATACACTTGTATTCACTTGTAACATGTAATATATTCTGTTGCAATGTTTGTTTAAATACTTAATTAGTGACTATAGTTCTTTCAATTTGCATGTAAAAAATCAAACTGGATGAATACTCTAAAATAGATATATTTTTCATATTTTTTTCTTTTAAATTGTTAAAAATTTGTGAAATACTAAAATTAAAATGTGAACAATCTCTTCTAATACTTCTTCCATTCATTTTTATTAAATAACTTCTTTCGTTCATATTTAGCTTATCATTGTACATTTTGTGATACTCTCTATGTCAAAAATTGAATGAATCATAAGGGTATTGGGAAGAAAAAACTATTAATTATATCATCTTTCTTCTTAATACCTATTTTAGTTACAAAAAGACGATTAGTGGATTGAGGGTAAGAGATCCTTGATGTGGCTTGTGATTCTTGTATATATTTTGATGTGGAGGTGATGAATATATCGTGCACTTTGTTCAAAAAGAAATTTTAATGCAACCTCGCATAAGATATATTTATACGGAGTATTATAATAACTTGTGATGTGACATAAAATGATATAATCAGTTATTATAAATAGAAAAATCATACTCTCTCCGTTTCAAAATAAGAATTTTTTTGTTTACGATGTTTGATTGAAATTATTTTAAAATTAGTATAAATAGAAATTGGTGTAAATTTTAAAAAAATAAGTATTATATATTAAAAAACTACATAAAAAATTTTACAAAAGAAGTAATGATAATGTTATTTTATTTTATGAAACGATTGATGGTAATGTATAAAGAAAGTAGAGTTTGTCTGACTTGCGAATAATAATTAGAAGTCTTTTTTATGACGGAATCATTTTGGCACATAAACAATAAGATGAAAATAAAAGAACTGCTGAAAAATGTTTTATGGAGGAGCTATAGTATCTCTCTAGTTTGATTGTTTTTAGTAAGTCAAATAACTACTTTTCAATGATTACCTAAAAATTGAATTACATATTAATACAATGAAGTAATTAATAAAAAAACTCTATAGTACAGATTCAACGGAAATTGTTTTTGTGCTAATATGCCATGTCATTTTAATTTAATTGAGATTTTTTTTATTTGAAGTTAAAAAGTCAAATTAGGATAGTAAAGTACTCTCAAAGAAGAAAGAAATTACTACGTTCATCATGTATTTGTGGTTATACTCATATTCTACCTAACTAATGAATGAATTTTTGGTCTTTAAATTTTTTTTAGTTCTATTGACTCAATTACAATATAATACTTGTATATTTTTTTTAAATGATGACACACAATGAATCTTGAGAACTAGATTCCCAAACACTCACAAAAGAAAGAAGTTCATATTATCTTATAGAAATGATCATCTTAAAATTGTGAACATACAATTCCATTTTCATATGCACATTGTTTCCTTAACGTTTCTAAACCACAATCTTTATGATATATCGGGCATATACTATACATGAAATATCGAAGATAAGTTATTTTTCAGGGGTCGCCAGATTAAATTATACGGAGTATTTGTTTATTTAAAAAATTCCGTATAATTTATATTTTTCCAAATTCCTTCAAAATCAAAATACAAAGTACATGGCTTTTAACAATTCATTCTTTCAACAAAATTTAAAACTGGTGAGCTTTTTTTCCTATCCACAAACAGTTTGCCCAAAGAAAAGTTTTAACCAAAACATAATTTTGGTACATATAGTATACGAGTTTGCAAGCTCCAAACACAATTCTCTCCACAAATAACTCTCACACATCAATTCTTGACAAACAAGCTGCAGATGGGTAAGATGGATGAATGAACAAATGCATAGAGCTTGAATGAGATTTATTTCATATATATGGGAAAACCCCTTTTGATTTCTCTCCAAACTACGTTCACATGTGCCCTCTCACTATATCAAATACATGTTTATATATACATATACATCTATTGCCTACCAAAAAAACACATCTTTTCTAGACACCAAAATAAATATCGAAGAAAAAAAAAGAGATTAAAAACTGTGGAAACAAAATTTAGAGCAGACATATCTGACAAAGAACTAAAAACTTGGGGCATGGATAAAAGGTAAGAACTTTTTCTTGTCACCTTATTAATGTGCGTTCTGGTGGAAGAAGATTAAAGACCTGGAGAGTGCAGCTGGATTGGCTTGTAAAACAGTTGAGTTTTCTGAAGAATCAGTCTTTTCGTCTTCTTTCAAGGGGAAGGCCTTGAAAAGGCCACCTTCCCCCACCAAATCAACTTTTTCGTTCTTGATTCCCAGAGTAGCCCAGATGGAGCTCTTTGCGGCGTCTTCCGGGTCATCAACTCTCAGGGTCTTAGGGACCCACAGACACTTCTCCGGGTCGCCTTCTTTCTTGGGCTCTTCTTCCTTGCTGTCCACCGGTTTTGCAGTGTTTTCATCCCTTGAATGCTTCCCCAGAGATGATGGCATGTGGTATTGAGACCCTACAGGTTGGCCAACCAAGGGTACAGGACAGCCCCAATAAGGTGGGGCAGGGTAAGCTGGCGTAGGGAAGCCGGGAGTGCAGTAACCGGGTGGGGTCCACTGAACGGCAGTCAATGGGTAAGTCCAAGGGGCTCCTGGGAAGCACGGCATCTGAGGAACGAGGTTCGGGCAGTTCGGTCTGTCGGGCAGTTCGGCTGCAGCAGTGACCGATGATCCACTCGAATGATCATCTCCATTCTCTCCATTCAATGGACTCTTCTTCTTTGTCCCTTTCTTCTCTGCGATGTTTAGTCCTGAAGCCATGGATTCACAGAGAGGCGATTCTGAGCCAAATGTAAGGAGGGTGCCATTGTTGTGTGGCCTGATGCCATTTGCAAGTTTCTGGTCAACTCGACCACCAGGAAAGGATTCTGCAATGGTGACGTGGCGGTAGTGGGGTCCAGAAGTCTTGTTTTTCCTCCTACCAGCTCCAACGGGCACGTTCCTCATTGTTCCACCAGCTGTCCAATACCTCTGGCAGTTCTTGCAGAAGTGGCGAGGCTGGTTCACATTGTAATTGTTGAAATAACAGAACTTGGTTTCCATGCTGTTGCAGCGAGGGCACGGGAGTATCTTGTCCGGTTTCTTCAGAGCCTTATCTGGTGAACTACAATTACTTGTTTCTCCCTGTTCATATGGTACTGGCTTTTTCATTGTCGTTGATCCATCAACCTCCATTTCATTTTCGTTCTGATCTGTTAGCTCTTCTTCCATCAAAGATTGGGCTCCTCCATCAGCCTTATGATCATCTAGCTTGCCTCCATGTTGGTCCTGTGTTCATGACAATGTTAGTGAAAAGTAAAATAAAGAGCAAATACTAAGCATGATGAAAATGCAATTATGGTAACCATACTAATGATGATGAGGATGAGGATGATGATGAAAAACCACAACAACAAACCATCTTCTACTCTTCTCATTATCTTGATTTTAACTCATAGCTATTTTTAGATGTTCTGTAACTTTTGTTCATCTTTTTCCCAAATATAGATTACAAAATTGAAGCTTTCCATTCAGATTCCAAAACCAGAATCACAGGTCACACTTCTTCATTACCAGAATCAGTTCGATTTCTTAAAAAGTTTCTAGTGCTCAAAAATATTGAAAATGGGGAAAAAACCTTTTCTGGAAATCAAAGTATGTATTGCTGGATACTTTTGAAGAAATGGAACTGATTTGGTGGGTCTGATACATACCAAGAAGGTAACCAAAATCAACAAAGGGGGAAATAAAGGAGATGAAGTGGAAACTATTACTAATCAAAACCCTAGACAGAAAAAGCTTCACGTCCATGAGACGACTTCAAGCAAATGACAATATCAAAGTCAACAGAAGCCAAAAACAAGATCGACCCATCACAGGAATCCCGGCGGCCTGCAATGGGTCGTTCTCGTAATTTACCCAAATCCATACCTTTTGCAGCGGTTCATCTCCTCCGGCGCAGCCGCCCACCGCCGGATCATTCCCCAAACGCGAAAAGGCTCGAGCCGAGACATCACCACACGAAGATTCCGGCGCATCGGCATCATCCCGGAAAGAGCCCCCAGTCTCCGTCGCCGGAGCCTGAATATCCGGCAGCTGGATAGTCTTGCCGAACAGCTTTATCCCCGGGTCTTTACTCGAATCCGACATGCCCGGCAACTTTTCAAAGCTCCCAGAGATGAGAAAAAAACAAAGGGCCGGAGGAAAGCGATGACTCCGGGACTGGGTCACACGCCCGGAGAGATCTGACACGCCGGAATCGGGTCAGGGTCGGGTTCGGGAGGTGGAATATGTACCGGAGAGAAATGGAGGAGGAAAAGTCCAGGTCAGCGAGGAAAAAGGGGAGTCTGAGCCACAAATTGGGTTTTTTTTGTGGCTTTAAAAGAGATCTTTTTTTGCCCTTTTTACCCTTTTCTTTCTTTTCTAGATTCTGTTCCTTTCTATCTATCTACCAAAAAGAAAGTGGACTAGTCTTCTTTATTCGTGACTCAGCAACACTTTACTTTCCCCTATACTATTCATTTATCGCCCACTTTTTCGTCCAAAAAGTCGCCACACTTTTTGAGCCTCTTTTCTCCCACTCCAAAAAGAAATCACATTTTTTCTCTTATCTTAAAAAAAATAAGTCTCCCAATATTCATCCGGTATTTCTTTTTTTGAGAATGATTCTACTTCCTCGGTCTCATACCGTTGGTTACTAGTCTCAATAACTATTACTCCGTAATTATTTGTACTCCTATATTTTTAAAAGATTATCACAGTTTGATTTTTTTACTCAAATTGTGACACCATGTGACCGTGAATTATGGAATCTGTGACACCCTTTAACCGTCAAAGTGTGGCAATTTTTTAAGATGAAAGAAGTTTATCTTTATTGATTATTTAATGAAGTAAAATATTTTTTTTCAAATCTTTCTTTGTAAAATTCCTTATATACTTTAGATGATATAATTTGTAGTTTTTATTTATAAACTAATTTGTAATGAAAATAGGTTTTAAAAATGATGAAATTTTACAGGTTATATGGTGAGGTTGGAATTAAATAAGAGATTACAAAAACTTAAAACCAGACAAATATTCAGGGATGGAGTAGTATGGTTTATATAGAGTATCATTTATTTCTTCGATGTGTGATGCTTCTTATGTTTTACTTCGTAATAATCAAATCTCAAAATAAGTTTCAATTCTTTTAAAATTGTCTCAACATAACTCTCTCAGTTAATTAAATATTGTGTATGTGCTCGAATGATATATGTGACTTTTCAAACTAAGAAGTCACAAAATTCGAATCCTTGCGACACCTCATGTGCAGACATTATTGCTTTGAGTATTGAACGTGAAACTTAATTTTTTATTCATCTAAACAAAGAGTTGCAGTGCTACACGAGCCACATTATATTACTCTCTCCGTCCCCCATATATCTTCTTAATAGCCCTTTTTCTTTGTCCACAATAGATCTTCTCATTTCATTTTTTAACAATTAAAATACCACAACTACCCCCACTTACTTTATTTATTACACCTCACCCACCTCATTTAATACACTCCACCCATTTTCATTAAGGGTATTATGGTAACTTTCACTTTTTTTCAACTCTTCTTAAAAACTACCAAAAGTCAAAATAAGAACATCTTATGGGGACGGAGGGAGTAGTTATTTCTTTCGTTATATAAAGAAATTACACTTGGTGTAAATAGAGAAAGTAGGCGTGGGAGTAACCGAGAAGTTTAATTTTAGCAAGGGGGAGAAGTACTTTTTATTTTTTGTCCTTTTCTTGGCTTTTACTCCGTATGTGTTTGGGGATGGAAATATGATGAGCTATGGGGGAAAATGTGAAAAAAACAAAACGTGTGGAACCGGCAAAAGCGTAATTATTATTATTATGGGTCAGTCCACACAAAAGTAAAACCGTGCGATTTGACCCTTTTGGCTTGCAACTTTGAATGCAACAACACCTTTCTCTCATCATAAAGTGGGTAGAGCCATAAATTATGCACCTCTTGCTTCTCAAACCAAAAAAACCCACTACAAACAATTATCCAAAACAAAACTAACTTTAAGTGTTTTCAGTTTATTTAGTTTTAAGATTAGTATGGAGCATCAAAATAACAAAATCAATTTAATATACTTAAAAATAATGTCAAAATATATACAAAACAATGTAAGGTGGATGTCGGGGGGTCAGACCGGTAAGCTCGTAACTTAATCCACAGAAGGCTTGAAGACTGCCCGACTTAAAGACTGGCCAGGTGGATGCCTTGAGATGAAAAGTAGTTATAAATAGTGTATCCATTTTTATAAATAGGAGTGAAAGCGAAGCAGAGCAATAAACAATCTACACGACTTGAAAGTTGTTATCACTCCCATATTATAAATAATAAATCGGGTTACATGTGTTCCCATATACAAACTTTCTGCTTTTTGAGACTTGAACACTCATGTTGGTTTTACGCCATCACGCACTATATATATTACACATGTTATTCGATTAAGTCTATTTCAAACTCTAAAAAAATGTAACATATGCAAGTTTACTCTCTAGCATAAATCTATCATCAAAATCTAATTTACTTTTTTTAGTTATTATCTGAGAGAATTCGAAGAAGATGGTGGATGTGACTCATCTCTTTTTATATATAAAGATAGAAAGTCATTTATGAATTAACATAGAGAAATTTACCTAAATAGGACTAAAACATAATGACTTTCCCAATATAGGATCATATGTTTTTATTTCCCAATGTAGAACTTTTGGTCATTATCAAGTAGTCATTATTCAAGTAAATGTCCATCATTACTGGACATTATTCCTCTCACTAGGTCATTATTAAGTCCTATTTAGGGAATAAAAAAGTTTAAGTCTTACATTGGGAAAGTCATTATGTTTTAGTCCTATTTAGTGCAAATTTTACATTAACATATCACCTTAGCAACTTGTGCGACCGTTTGTGCTCATCTCTTTGGCTGTCGTGCTTTTTTAAAATATTCTCTTAAGTTACCACCATAGGGTATGTTTGGTTAACAATATTACTCCCTCCGTCCCATTTTAAATTGTCTGTTTGCCTTTTTTCTCCGTCCCAAAATAAATTGCAAATACCTAAACTACCCTTAAAATAAGTCACTCTTTTTCACCTTATCTTCTCATTCATCATCACCCCTCTTAAAAAATAATGTCAATTTCGAAAAATCAACTCTATTTTTTATTTTCCTTAAATATGCCCAAAAGTCAAAACAGGCGATTTAAATTGGGACGGAGGGAGTAAGACTAAAAAACGCGTAGTACTACAGAGTAATTTTTATCCACAACTTATCTTTTATGGAGTATTAAAGAAAATCTAATTTGAAGTATTTTGTTTATAGTTTTAATGATGATAAGTTTTTTAGTATTTTGGTTGAAAATGACAAGAAAATGATGAGAAAAAAGAAGTAAGGATCCGTTTGAGAACTTGGAAAATGACCTCTGAAAAATGACTTCAAGAAAAGAAGTTAGTTTTTCTGAATTCATTTTCCTTTGGTGGTGTTTGGTTGACGAAAATTGTTTATTCTTGTTTGGTTAATTTTGGAAAACAAGAATTGGAAAAATGACTTCCAGAAGTTATTTTCTACCTTCGCAAATGAAAGACCCTAAAATATGAAAAGGTAATGAAAAAAAGTTTTCTTATCGTTGTTGATGAGAAATGTTTTGTTATAGGTTTCACATTAATTTTTTTATCATCAAAATTTGAGAAATTATATTAAAATTCGTGTTTTTGATCTTCCTTTCTTTTCTTATCATTTTTCTCTAACAACCAAACAATATTGTAAAGCTTGAGAAGTTGAGAATATAACTTGATATATGGGCATTTCTTATTTTTGAAAGCCCAAGCGACAAAACCAAGACAATGGACACTCCAACCCAGAACAGCGAAAGCCCACACAACTTTGGACGAGGGTTTTAAAATCGTACTGTAATTTTAAACGATTGTACTTTGTGCCCAGATACGTAAACAAATCAAATATTTTAAATTCAATTCGTGATTCGTATTCGAATATGATGATTCAAATTCACATTATTCAAATTCAATTTCAAATATTAGTTTTGATTCAATATCAAATAAATACAAATACAAATAGATGCATTTTTTATTCAGATGTTATTTGAAAATTGGAATATATTTATATACACAGGTCATGTTTTCAACATCAGTAATCAAGCAAACTAATATAGTATAAAATGCATTTAAATTACTAAGATTTCCTTATATTAACGTAACACAAAAATTTAAAGCAATGTGATTTTTAATAGTTATATTTTATAAAATATAATTTGTGTAAGACACAAATGCATAAATGCTTTTAGATATGGTATAACCATATAAGAAATACTACTTCCTCTCTCCAAAAATTATTATTTTAGTCCGCATTATCATATTTGATTGAATTTTTTCAAATCATTTTATATAAAAAATAATGTGAAATTAAAAAATAAAAATTATATATTAAAAAAACTACATCTAAAGATCTACTCCGGGTATAAAACTAAGGATGACATAACTATATTATTTTATCAAATAGATAAACAGAAATAGACAAACAAAGTGAATAAAATATGACCTTGTAAATAGTGAACGAGAAGCTAATTTTTAAATGGATGAAATGTAAGTTAAATTATTCAAAATCGATATATAAATTACGGAAGAAGATTATTCAAATATTCGTTGAGGATTCGTTAAGTATTTAAATATTAATCAAATACAAATAGAATTCTTATTTTTAATTAATTTCATATTCATATTTAATTCTTATTCTTAATCGATATTGCTTCCTTTTTTATTCCACCCAATTTGTAGTTTGTACATTCATCCTACCATTTGAAGCTTTTTCTTTACGGTTTGGAATTACGGGAGTTGTGCCAAAAATACGGAGGAGCGCGATCCAGCTCGAGCGGCCGACAAATTCGATCCGGGTCGCCATCTCTAATCAGAAGAGATTGTTATGAAATTAGGCAGCTAGATACTTGCAGACAAAGAGTCGTGCAATTTGGGGTCTGCGGTTTTCTTGTATAATCGCACAAACTCGAAGAAGAAGAAGAAGAAGAAGAAGAAGAAGAAGAAGAAGAAGAAGAAGAAGAAGAAGAAGAAGAAGAAGAAGAATAAGAGACATCTGGTTCTGGGCTTATTCGATTTAGGGTTTTTTTCTTCTCTGCTAGCAGGGGGGCGCCATGGATTCCCCCCCTGGTTCACCTGGCTTCGATATTTTTGATTTCTATATGCGCTATTCTGGTAATCTTCTTTGAATCATTTTTTTTTAATTTTTAAATTCCTAAAGCTTCATGATTGTCTCGGAGTAATAAATTCTTGATTACTAAGAATGATGACCCCTTTGTAAGATATTGATATTTTTAAAAATGTGTTCTGAACTGTGCAGTTTAGTCCGTAGAGAGAACTTTATTTAACTGGTTTCTTCCCAAAGATTGGGTTTTTAACTCGTTTTGGAACCAAGTCGTAATAATTTTGTAACTGATTACTGAGCCTTTGTTTGGTAGCCTTATATAGCTTATTCTTCGTATTTGAAACACCAGAATAAGTGGGGTTTTTTTGGCTGCCATTAACACACTCATTTTCTCTGTGATGCAGACATAGTGGCTGGGATATGGGCCAATGTGAATGCCAGTGATGAGCAGCTGAAGGCTGGATATTTTAAAGAGGAACTCTTAGAGCTTCATGATTTGGTGGAGGACGCAAAACTGCATTCAAGGCATGTAGCTTACGCGGTTGAACTTTTTAGTGGCTAATGGGCTTAAGTAATTTATGTACAGATATGTAGATTACAGATTGGCACGATTGAAAAATATTTTTTTTTATTGTGGCAGGATTTCATTGATGGATGAAATTTACAGGCTTATGTTGCAATTAGATTTGAAGGCGAGTTTTCTCTTTGTAATATAATGCCATAAAGCCGATAAATTGACCATAAAGCCCTGATCGTGTAGTATGTTATGCAGGCAGACTTCTCTGAATTCTCACGTTTCTATGATTTTGTGTTCTTCTTATGCCGAGAAAATGGTCAAAAGAACATTTGTAAGTTTGTTTAATGCTTTGACGGTTCATTAGTTGCAGTATAAGCTCTGTAAAGGTATGTTATATAATATTATCTCATCCGTTTTTCTTAATATTATCCACTTAGCTGTGAGAAAGGCTGTTATGGCATGGAGGTTAATTCTAGATGGAAGGTTTCGATTACTTCATCAATGGTGTGACTTTGTTGAGGTAATGACAGAAATAGTTATAATATGCACTTTCACTCTTACATGGGCTGCATTAGTATGATTAAAAAAGAGGTGTTTTAATAAATTAGAGTATGCAATTTTTGCATTATTACATTTCAGTTTTTTCAACGAGTTCACTTTTAAAATATGCCTGTGTATATATATATTCTGAATTGTTCACGGCACTTCATTGGCAGAAAAAACAGCGACATAACATATCGCAGGATACCTGGCGCCAAGTATTGGCTTTCAGTCATTGTGTACACGAAAATCTTGAAGGATATGATCCTCAAGGTACGACATTTATATTTTTTGCTTCTAAACTGTCACAAACTATCTAGCTTTTTACGTTATTTAAAAAAAAACTATTTAGCTCTTTAGTATTATATTTGCTTCAACTTGTTTTTTTCTAAATTCCTGACAGGAGCATGGCCTGTCTTGATTGATGAATTCGCTGAGCACATGTATAGGTTTGTGATGAATATTAAGACGCTATAAAGTTTCATGAGCTTAGTTCTTTTGACACCAAGGGCCGATGTCATAATATGACACCGGTCCAGGGTGACCCCGAAATGGTTCATACCCCTAAACCACACACACAAACCCCAAAGTGGTTGTCAAGAGAACCGCAATATATTTTCATATATCCATAATAGAAGAGGAAAAAAATAATCAATACTACACGTGTTCCCATGTTAAAATGGCACACAAAAGCATAAAACCTCATTCTACATTTTCAACTACTAATGCTCTTCTGGTACATAGGATCCGTGGATCGAATAGTTCTTCTACACAGTCAGCCTGCAACTGTGGCGATTCAGATGTCCATATAGCCGATGAACAAGTTCTTCGCGGTAAGTCACTGCTCACCTTGGCTTGTAACCAAACAGTCATGGTGGAGTTTTGCGATATGATCATAGTATTCTTGTTTATTATCAGGATTGAAACTGTGTCCTGGCTTCAAGAGGAAGTCATGCGACGACCTACTAAAAGAACATGGAAACAATGCCGGTCCAAACTTGTGGGAAGAGAACCTGGCGCTTGATTTGGATATGGGGAAGTATAACAACTTGTTGGGGCACTCGAAATGTGCCGTGGAGGGGTCCCTCTCCAAGGGGTTCGCCGGGCTATTGTCAAACGGACCTTGTTTGCAATTTGAGAAGAAGAGCAGAGTGTCCTTCACATGAGGGGAAGTTTTTTTATGGGATAGGACTCTTTGGATATTGCTTGTTCCACATTGGAAGAAGCTCTATGATCTTGTTTGCCTTTAGGGAAAGTTTTGCTAGTGCATTTTTTTCTTTTTGGTTTTTCGGTTTTTGGTTCGATTGGTACATTGCCCATTCTTGGTAATTATGTATGACACAAATAAATGGTAGATAAATGGGCTCCTCTTACGTGCTTTGTCCACAATACTACTGTTATTAAAAGAAAGTTGTGTGTTTTTTTATTATTTACAGTTTAAGAGAAAATGAAATACATTGGTGTTCCATTAAAATGAGATGCAATTTGATTTGCTCTTTCTGTCTTAAAAAAAGTTTCATTTTTGAATTCGTACGAAAATTAAAAAAAATGAAATTGTGTGGTTAAATTGGCGTAGAGTATTGAGAAACACTATGAGTTTGAAAAACTTTTTCAGAAGAAAAAAAAAGAAGTGAAATTTAGAAGAAAAAAGAAAATGACAAATAAAATCTACCCAATGGGCTGCAAATTTGGGCTTATCTCATCTCTGCACTTGTGGAGCCTAATAAGCCAATGCTAAGACGAACAGTCCAAAGTAGCGTCCATTATCTTCTTCTGACAGCTAAAAATTTTTGATTGTGACTGGGAATTAGAAATTTACAGTTTCCAAAGAAAGAGCCCACTGAACCCAATCATATGTTTGGTCCATTTTCGTTTTGTTGTGGCCTGTGGGATGATGACGATTTGACATAATTACCCTTTCATGTTCAATCAAAGTCCATTCCATTTTTATGGGGGCTTTGCTTTGTGACGATTCTCTTTGAAAATTTTTAATTACGCGAAAAGATAATTTTAAAATTTATGGTCTTTCGCCCCGGAAAGTGGCATGAGATGATTGAGCTTAAATTTAATTGATCAATAGATGGATTTAACATTTAGGTTGTACAAGAACCACATGCTATATGAACGTCCTTTATTACCGTTGTGAATTGAATACGTACATTATCTCATGTTGGATCTCTATTAACGGTATGCTTACCCCATGTTCACTGTAGTGAAAGCAGGAATTGCATCGATGGGCGTTGCGCAATTAGCAAAGATAAGAAGTGTCAAGTCGTAAGATTCGAGTTTAATTCATAGTAACTGTGGTGGAATACAATTATGTTAAGCATAGAGTCTCTGTGATACCGGGTACATGTTTCAGTCTTTGTTATCTATATGCGTTCAAAATTCATCGACTGAGTCTGAACATTCCTCAAAGATGGGCTCATCATCTTTCTTTTTATTTTTCTGAAAGAGGGAATAGTACGTGGTAGTATAGTGGTGAGGGGAATAACAAAAGAGTGTGGGGAGTTTTGATTAGTCTAAGGCGTGATGATGAAGAAAATTAGCACAAGAATCCTTCCACAGATTGCCGCAGCTTTTGCCTCTTTAGTATTGTCAAGTGTCAACTAACTAAGGAGTAGTAAAGATTAATTAGTGATCTCATTCAGCTTTGTTGGGTTTTGTTAGTGGTTGTTAAAGTACCCTATATATCTCACATTAAAACTCTTATTGTTACTTTCACAAAGTTAAAAAAAATAGTTATACTCTCATAAATTCCTTTTTATTTCTTTGTCCTACGAAGTTCTTCCTTTTTATATTAAAAATTACTATTATTCCTACTAATTAAATATTACCTTACTTATCACATCATATTTTTTAACTAATAATCTCCAATCATATCTAATTTTTGTCTGTCACATTAAGAATATTTTTCATAAATTAATACAAAAATTAAAATTGGAACAATTAACTTTTTGAGACGAATGAGGTACTTGATATTTATGTAAAAGAGAGAACAATGAAACTAAAGAAGGGAGAATTGCAACCTGGGGGTATATCATTGCAGTTAACTCATTAAAAATGTAGGAGATACCTATGTTAGAATCGCCTCGTTGGGGCACGTCCCCCCCCCTCCCCCTACCCCCTTTGCTCTTCCTCTGGGAGAGCAACTAATGTTCCTCACTCAATACTATTTTAAATTGTTACACTTCCGTGTTCCATGTTAAGTTGTAAATCTGAAATGTAGATTTTCTCACATGTTTTATAAAATGATTAGTAAATCTTTTCATTATTACAGAATGACTACTTCTTTTATGTTGTTTATAAACAAAGTCTATATAATGAATTTGGATTCAAGAACCACATAAAAATTTCCTTTTTTTTAGTACGGAGTAGAAAAATTCCCTACTTTAAAAGGAATAAGATTTTTTTTAGACAATCAAAAAAAGTGAAAATTTTTATTTTAAAACTAATAAACTATTCCTCAGTTGGTTGATAACAACGCAATGAGCTTAAGCTCACCGCCACTAATTATTTCATTTAATTAATTAATCTCAAAATAAGTCAAAGCCAATAGTCTTCCAGCCCTATACATTTGCAGAATTGGGAAATCTCAAGCACCAATCAAAACTTCCAAACCAATAGAAGAATCCAACAACTAAGTACTTTAGTCGTAAGTGAAAATTTTTCGAACGTGGAAGAGGATTAATAAATTTAATTACTTATTAGTGTGTGATAATGGCACTATTTCTTTTCTGTTTATTTTAATAGAAAATTCAAAGTTTGGCACATCACGGACAGGTTAGGAATGGAAAAAAACACCCTTCACCCTTGAATTAGTACACATTTTTGTAATTTTAGTCTTAAGATTGCATGCCTTGTAAATTTATTGTTTCTTAATTGCTTGTTTTCAAAAGTTACTCTATAGTGTTTTATGACTAATTTCTTTTTAACTAACTGGTGTTTAATGTTTTTTGATATATTTAGTTTGTTTTCACGTTTTCATTTACGATTTGTAAAATAAAACATTCTTGTCACAACTTGATATAATTGTAATTTGTAATTTGTGATACACTTTTCAAGTATGCTTTCGAAATATGTAATTTGTGAAATTTGAAAATTTTATTTCTATATTAATTTATTCAAGGGAATGAGAATTCATTTACAAGCGATCAACTAGTTAGATTCAAAATGGACAGTTGTTCAGTTGAGTTGAAGTGTTAAGAAGTATCTCACATCTGAAATCAAAGAGAAAAATTATAGATATTTTAGCTCTTGAGTTCAATTAAACAATTTAATCGATTAGATTTAATATTCTAATATAGTTCAGCTCCAGTGTCTTAAGAACCAGTACGGTCTTTCACTTGATTTTAATGTTAAGATGAATTTAGGGCAAATTATTTTAGAAAAATAAAATGCTACGACGAATTAAGACAAATAAAACGATTTGAGGAAATCTATTTTCTCACAAAGTGAAAGAAAGCCCTCCATCCTTAATGTGTACTACCTCCGTCCCAAAAAGATTTACACGTTTTGACTTAAGTTGAAATTAAGGGAGGGAAAATTTTGTGTTGACTTTCCAAAAATACCCTTGATGTGATGGGTAAAAGTATGATGTGATGTGTAGATTATTAGGAAAAAGGTATGATGTGATTGGTAGGGTTTGAAAAAATTAGGGGTAAAAGTGGTTTTTTAATAGAAATGGGTAGGAGATTGTGGGACGTGATTTTTTTGAAACGTGTAAATCTTTTTGGGACGGAGGGAGTAGTTTTTACGGGCTTATATTTTTAGGCAAATTCTTAAATGGTCTTTTATTATTTCAATACTATATTTATATGGATAAAGACCAAAGTAGGACTAAAACATTGAAAATATACCAAAATACGACTTCCATGTTTTTATTCCCGAAATAGAACTGACATTACCAAACATGGTCATATACATTACCAAAAAAGTATAGTAATTTGCACATGTATACCGCCACATTACCACAATGTAAAGTCACATTACCACAATGCGAAGTCCTATTCCGGAAAAAAACATGAAAGTTCTATTTTGGTACTTTTCTCTATGTTTTAGTCCTATTTAGGATGATTTCTAATATTTATACTCATTCGTCCCAATTTATATTGTCTATTTCAGTTTACGATTTTTGACTGAAATTATTTTCAAATCACTTTATATGAAAAATGTTACAAAATCACACAATAAAAATTACATATTTAAAAATTACATAAAAAAGTTTGACCATAAAAATAGTAAACATGCAAGAAATTGAAGAATGTTTATTATCATTAGACAAATACTCAGGGACGAAGGTAGTATATAAATTCCAAAAGAGTTAGTTTCTTGTAAAAGAGTAAAATACATGAGTAAGCCCATAAAAAATATAAGAAATAAAAAAAACTTATATTTAACATATGAAGCTAAGAGCACTGGAAATACGTATGAAGCCCCGGGGCTTCAAACCGGGGCTTCAAACTCTCTCTCTCTGCCACGTCAGCTTTAACTTACACCAAAAATTCACTGGAAATGGGTTTGAAGCCCCGGGGCTTCAAACTGGGCTTCAAACCTTCATTTTTTACATTTTTATATATACATCTTCTAAATTTAAATTAATAAATTTAATTACTTTATTATTTAATTATATTGAAACAAGAATAATTAAAAAAATTACATTCATTAAAAAAATATTACATCCATAAAAAACAACACTACAAAGAAATTACTAATTATTCGAGCGACTAAAAATATCTTCATTCAAATTCGAGTTGTAGTAACATATTGCAAACTGAAATAATTCATTAAATAAAAAATACAGTCAATAAAAAAGTATGTTAAATTTAATAAAAAAACAAAACAAAATTACATTACTAAAAAAAATTTAAACAAAAAAATATTACATTAAACAATAAAATATAGAGTAAAAAAAATTATGTTTGTGTATATTTTTTAAAGAGAGAGTGGGGGGCTTTGAAGCCCGTTAAACTTTTGAAGTAGAAGAAATGAAGCCCTTTTGAAGCCCCAAAGGGGCGGTGTTTGCTGCCCCTTTGGCGTTAAAAGAGGTAATAACGCACCGGGCGTTACGCCCATTACCAATGCTCTAAGAGAGAAAACCCATAATAAGTTATAAGAAAAGTGAATAATTATACGGAGTAATATTTTTATTATTATTATTGTTATTGAATGTATACATATAGCTAGGTTATTTAAAATTCAAACCTCTCATATTTCTCATTTTCTTATCTCTAAAAAAAATATTGGAATGTTCTTCTTTTTTTTTTTGCAAATTTGCATCCATCCATATCCTTAACTAGTTCATAGGCAACTTATTTTTAAAATTTCTTTATCAATTAACGCATCATGCAGTGCATGAATTGGGGAATTGAATACGTACCATTTTTTCCATTAATATAATTATCCGTTCATACTCATTAATGCC